GAAATTTTGGAACTAATCTGATATTTTTTGCTGCATCAAATTCAGTTTTGACAATTGACGGTTCTGGTTGGTTCTGTAATTTTAATTTCTCTAATTCAAAGTTCATTTCACGCTCTCTTTCTCGCTCTTGTCTTTCTAATTTGTCTAATTCAAATTTTAGTCTCACTTTCTCGTTCTTCTCTTTCTCTTTCTAATTTTTCTCTTTCAAATCGCATTTTCTCTAACTCTAATTGAAACTGATATTCTGCCATTTTATAAGAGCCTAACTCTGATTTAACTGTATATTCTGGAAGATCGTATTTTTCAAAGATGTTTTCTTCTACTAATTTGTTTGCAACCTTAATTCTAATGTCTTGCTTTCTCTGAGAGGATTTAACATCTAACCCAAAATGCAAACCTAATGCGATCAAGTCATCCTTTTTTAACGTATCAAAAACCTGAACACTTGGTGAACTAAGAAAGTCTGTGACCGAAAACACCATGTTGATTTCTGCTGGCTTATAATTAAATTTAAGGTTCAATTAACAAAAATTCTGACAATAAACTGCAAAAGTGCAAGAAATTCTTTATCCCGGACGAGCCCCCAATTCTGTTATGGGTCAGAATAACCCTAAATGCCAGCAAAGATCAATAACAAAATTTAAACTTAACAATAATTTATTTACAGTAATATATAATAAGTATATGAAACATAAAGTACAAACTTAGCAAGAATCTAAAAATACATACATCAGAGTGTCCGTTTCTGCACACAATGTCCCAGTGAAAATATACTTCCCAGTTATATCTCAATAGTGCTTATACGACAAAAGTCTATCTATGCATCGAATTGACAGGGTATTTATACAGTAATATAAATCTAGAATATTCTAGAAATTGTTAAATCATGATATTACTGGAACAATCTGGACATACACAAAATTTAAGAATGTTCTAGATCAAATGACCGAACATGTTGACCACTCTGGAATGTTCAAGAAACTAAATGTTACTAATAATACAAATACAACACATCACACAACAACCGTACCCCTGAAACTTTGTTTATGGGGGCATAAAAATTTAATTTGCTATAAATTTGGAATGGTTAGAGTATCAGCTTTCATGTTTCGTAAGTTTATTCCTTGTGACAAGACCTTCCCTTGGATACTTGTAGTAACCCCAAAAAACTTGACACTGTACCTTAAACATAGAGTTTGACTTTGAAAAACTTTAAACTTGGCAATAAGAATTACACTGTAAATGGTTTGTTGAGGGCTTTCTGTTTCACAAGTGATTTCCGTGTTACAAGAACGTTCTTCGAATACCATCAATTTTGACCTTCCATCTTGGAATTTGACTGACCTTTAAAAAAATTGATTTTGCTATAACATCTGAATACCTGGTGCTAGGGTTTTCAAATCATTTCACAGGTGTATTCCTTGCGACAAGTTAATTTTCTGAAGTACCAATATGTTTGATTTTGCCCTCAGAATTTGTCCTACTTAAAAAAACTTCAGCCTTGACTAACATTCCTAATTGATTGCTTCAAGGGTTTCTTATTTCACAGGTTTATTCCTGCTAATTAGATTTATTTTTTGGAACCAACACTTTTAATCCCTTGACTTTCGAGTTTGACTTGCATTATAGAAACTAAAACCTTCACCATGAGCCACAAAAACATATAATTTTAAGTTTCTGATGAAAATGTATAAAAAGTGTGAAGAGTGATTGATGGAGCTACTGGTATTATTCTTTTTCAGATCGGTGATAGAAATGAAATCCTACATTACTTTTATTCCAAGTTTGACAAATCCTACATTGCTGGCTTATGTAAAGAACTTGCTAAAGGTATTCAGTGGATTATATCTTATTCTAAATACCTAACTTCTTTCATATATCAGAAAATTATAGTAGATTTTAAACAGCGGTGAGTGCTATTCAGAGATATACAAATGGTGATTTTCAATGACATTCGAAGTTAATTCTTTTTGCTTGGACAATGCTGTCTGACAAATGTTATTTTAAAAGCATTTTTGGAAAAAAAAATAAACATGTACATACATGTATGTAAATGAGAATTTGAACTCCTGCTTTGAAATCAAAAGAAAATAAAATGATTTTAATTGCTCATATCTTCTTAGGTGCCAAAGAGAAAAAAGACCAGATATGTCTGGAACTTTTCAGACAAGCTGGGGAAATTCTAGCAGAACACATTCTTGGAGTTGGACCAAGAATTGCAGAGGTAACATCTAGGACTGTTGTTAAACAGAAATACAGTGAAAACTGTCTAATCCAACACCTGAATAATATGACACACTGTGAATTCTGACCTTGGATTTCTTTCCCATTTTACTATTTTCCATGTTTTTCACACTGCACAATCGGACACCCTGTCTATTCGCACACAAAATTTGTCTCCCAGTGCATGTCTGATTAGACAGATTTCACTGATTGTGACCTCAACAGCAACTGAAAAATATTAATTATCAAGTCCCTGGAAATTTTTTATTTTTTTTTCTCCTCAGGAATTACTGAACACACCCAGTGGATTACAGGTTGTCACAGTAGGGTCTGTCTGGAAAAGCTGGGACCTCATGAAGGACGGTAAGTCTAATGTTCAAGAATTGTTTAGAATTGAAAGAAAAATTTAAGGAAATTACATTATTTAGACAAATTTTCTATCTTGTAAAATAAAAGGATTTCAGTTACAACACGGCAATTATTTTATGATGTATGAAAAATATACCCTGACTGTTCTAATTTTCTATCAGGCTTATTTTGTGAGAGCCCTGACAGACAGTTACTTTATTCTATTTATTTCTTTACGTTTTTACTTCGGTATTCTCCGTGTAACTTCGTATCTAAAGAAACTGGTTTTTCATGCACGAGCGATTTAGCGCTCACTATAAATACTTTTACCGGGGAATGTTCAATTAATGCGACGTTCGTTACAAAGAATCGCAGGTTGTAGTAAGTCTTTGGCATGTCAACAGAATCAAGTTCAACTTCTACAAGTAATAGAGATGTTCCTCGAGAACTACGTACAGAGACAAATTCTAATTCCGGCCAGGATTTTGATGTTATTGACGCCGTCAGTTTATTCAACAGCAGGTTAGACACCGCCCTTGAAAAGCAAAAAACTCTCATTCTTTCTGAAATACAAGATAAGCTTAAACCAACAAATACATTTGAGTTCCGCGGAGAAGGAAACAAAATACAGTTTCAGTTTAATGAGGAGAGATTGCGAGGTTTAGAACTGTTATCACAAAAACTCATCTCTGGCGATTTCAGCGGTGTCACAGATTTAATTTCCTCCGAGAAAGAGGCCATTCGTCAACGAAACAAGATATTACGAATAGCTGATAAACATGGGTGGGACACGGTTAAGGAGTATGTGGATTCTGATATTGCTGACAATAGCGAGGATGCCGCCAGACTGCGCTCCGCTATTTCAAGAGCCGCCAACAAGAAACGTAAATCTCCTTACGACAGACCCGTTTTCCCTAAAACTTCAGGAGTGTTCGATGGTTTGTCCTCTAGGCAGCTTTTTCTCGGCAGTGCAAAATTCAACTACCGCCAGCAGTTCAACCCTAGATTCATTGCGCCCAGTTCGGCAAATTACAGAAATCCCCTACAAACACAAGTCGCAAACATCGTCTGCCACTACTGTCGACTCCCGGGCCATTTTGCAAGATTCTGCCCGTACACTCAGCAACTCCAGTGCTCAACCCCCCAGGGAACCCAAACAACAGCACTCGTTCCAACATCAACAGCAAACCAGCAATGAAGTTGAGTATGTTAGTCATATATTAGACCATAAATCTGACTTCGATGCAAATTCAGACATTTCAGTTAAAGATCGTTTAAAAAACTCTGTTGAATTTTGGAAGTATGTTATAAAGCCAGACGATTATATTTTAAATGTTATCAAATTTGGCTATAGGATAGAATTTATTATATATCCTGAAGTTGTATGTTTGTCTAACAACAAATCAGCACTGCAGAGCGCCCCTTTTGTTGAAAAGGCCATCTTAGAATTGCTGAGAAAAGAGTTAGTCATTGAATGCTTTGAACCGCCCCATTGTGTAAACCCACTGACCGTTTCAGCGCCATTGAATAAAAAGCCAAGGTTGATTCTTGATCTTAGACACGTCAATGCATGCGTTTTAAAGAGAAAATTCAAATTCGAGGGGTCTTCAGAGGGTCTTAATTTTGCCGAAAAAGGTTTATTTATGATCAAATTTGATTTAACAAGCGGATATCATCATGTAAACATCCATCCAGATTTTTACAAATATTTAGGTTTTTCCTGGAATTTCAATGGTTCAAAGCGCTATTTCGCATTCACAGTCCTACCTTTCGGTCTCAGCAGTGCTGGTTATATTTTTACTAAAGTATTAAGACCATTAGTATTGTATTGGAGAGCAAAAGCATACGGAGTTATAATGTATTTAGACGATGGCTGGGTTTGCGATTCCAAACAAAATTGTAGTTTAATGTCACAGAATATTCAAAAAGATTTATTGCATGCTGGTTTTCTTGTTAAAGCTGACATGAATTCTTAAAAACGAAACATTTTCATCTATGTACGACTTGTTTCATACCAACTATAGCCGTATTCCGCCATATTTCTTTCAGATACATTGTCTCAATGTAACGATATATACCCAAATGCGGTCGTTACACTTGAATGATTTTTTGGCTTGGGTATCGACTTGTGCACATCTCCGATGGTAAAGCATATGAGAACACATGGGGTGATCAAGACATTTCAAAACCACAACAAACAACATAATAATCATATTTCCGAATAATTATTGATTTGAATCAAAAGGAAAAAAATGCAAGTTTGGATGAGAAATTTAGATGCATGAGTACGTATTTTACAGTGCGCCAATTTATGCAGAATAAACTTGAAAGAAAAAGCAGTAAAATCTGCAAACACATTTTGAAATTATATCAATTGAATGGAACAAAACAACCTACGTCTTTGATTTGCAGGTCATAAAGATGCAATTGATGCATATCGAGAAAACGCCTCGAACGCTGTAAACGTACCCATACCTGGAAATAAGGTTACTGCATCGGTTCGACGATGTGCACAAGTCAAGTGATATACACCCTGAATCCCATTTATTGAAATATGCATCACAAAAAAGAAATAAACTCCATAAAAGCTCAATAGTAAACACACTGTCACTACTCTGTACAGACTAGCACGTCGATACACTTAGTCCGTGCTGATCACATTTTGGTCAGGGAAAATATCACAAGTGGAAAGAGAAGTTATTTGGAATTTGCGCGGCTGAACGGGGGTGGGGGGGTTAAAGTATTATAACTGCTGTTCATAAGCTTTAATTGTCTATCTACAAGTAGTTCTAATATACATTCTATACAAAGTCATGTACATAGTCTGCAGTTGGTTTGCGTCGCAAAATTCATTTGTCAACTATAACTGATTATTTTAGAACTAACCTCAAATCTAAACCAAGTAATTTGAGGTACGGTAATTATTTACTTCAAATCTTAAAAGCAATTAACCAGAATACAATTTTTATGTGTACATCTATACGTTCTTTAACACACACAACGGGGGGGGGGGGGGCATGCAAAAATAATTGACATGACTGTTATTTAAATATTCTTGGAAGAGAGACATTTCTGCCGAATTCAATTTTGAGATTTTTTTTAAAATATGAGGAATGTAACTGTTTTATGTTGTTACAGAGAGTCTTTCGAGATTTCAGTATCCCTGCCTGATAGTCTAGCTATTTTTTTTTGTACAAAAATAATTTCTTTAGGAGTATTTGAGAGATAATTTTAAGAGCTAGGGTAGGGATAGTTGACACTGGTTGAATACGGATAATTTTTATTAACTCTTTTGTATATTGAACTCTCTCTCTCTTCTCCCTCTCCTATCCGTGAGGGCAATAATAAGTATAAGGTCCTACGGACCTTGTGCTGTACCATTTATTAAGCCTAAGAACTGATCAAGGATTTTTCTCAGGAGGGATGTCGAAACTTCATAAATTGAATAATAATTTTAATTTGGACAAGAAATTAACCCACACGCCCAAACTGAAATAGAAACTAGAGGTATTGTGAGCAATGAGCTCACCAAATGATACCCCGCCTCTTATATGGTTATAATGGCAAAGTCCATATTTTGCTGTTGTCGCTAAACCCAAAATATGTGTCGAATCAAAAAGCAGGCACGTAGCATCGTATTTGAAAGTGGTGGCCAGGCAGAGAATTTCTTTTCATTACCAGAAAAAGTTGACAAGCCAAAAAAAAAAAAACAAAAAAAAAAAACACCTTCAATTAACATTTCCTATAGTATATGTTAGGTCGCGGGAAAAGGGGGGGGGGGGCAGCCCTGAAAAGTAAAATAGGAGTTGCACAATGGTAATATGTAATAAACTTAAGATTCTGTGAAAGTTTCATTAAAATTCACCAAGTGGTACAAGATGATTTGCGGATAAGATATTGGTACCCCAAAGCGTAAGAGACAGACGCACGGACAGACGGACGAACATAACGATTACTATATACCCTCCCACTTTTCAAGCGGGGGATATAATAAACGTGAAATATACATCACAGGAAAGGGAACATTGGGAACTTTCTCAAATACCTTGTAAAACGTACGTGTCGAACCAGGACATGGACAACATGCAGACAAGAGAATATTTAAAAAAGCTAATTGTAGGTAGAATGTGGAATTCTCACGGGGAGTTTGCTCTCTCTTCCTATAAACTTTTTCTAATAATCATCAATTATTTATGTCTAAAGATTTAATTCACATTAAATTCTATTTTCATTATCATTGCACCACAGAATCAGACTCGTTTATTATACCCCTCGCAATAAGTTGCGTGAGGTATAATGTTTTTGACCCGCCAGTCAGTCTTTTTTTTTCTTTTTTTGGTCAGCGCAACTTCTCATAAACCACTGCACAGAGTTTTGTCGAACTTTGCAGATATTTATAGGAGACAATGTGTGTGTACATTTGCACATCACCAGGAAATTACGAATTCTTTATTTTTTGGGAATTTCCCCACTTTTACATTTAGATTTTGGCCATATCTTGAATATAGAGATGAGCAGTTTGTCATCGCAATTCTTCATAAACCGCTGCACACAATTTCGTCAAACTTTGCAGATATTTAGGGCACAATGTGTATAGATGAGCATATTACATGGAAATTACGACTCCTTTATTTTTTTCTGGAATTTCAGCACTTCGACTTTTGGGGAGCGTGGGGTATGTGAACTTGCTCATTTTTTTTCTTTCATTGAGCATAAAATTATAAATAACTTTAAATCAAATTATATTAGGTCTAATGAAGCCTATACACAGTATTTATTTGATAATAATTAATTTGTTTCAGACGTTTTTCTTAAATTATTTTTATGAGAGTGTTAATATGCATGTTTTATTCCCCCCCCCTCCTATCACAGGAAAATATCTTCAAAAGGTGAATGATTCGTATTAATGCATGCTTTATTATAAATTTAATGAAGTTAAACCATGTAATCATAAATTTTATTTACTACATTTACAAACAAGAGTAATGTTTATTTTTGAAAAAAAAAAAATTCAATCAACCCCACTGAGCTTTCAACCTTTGATATTTTCCCTGACCAAATAAAATGATCGGCATGGGCCACGTGTGTCCGAGCATTTTTTACTATTGAGTTAGCAATGGATTACATGACTTCTGAGATGCATTTTTCAATAAAAGTAAAATAGGATAATTCTTTCGACATGTGCACATCCCTGTAACGATAGCAGTATTCAGGTAAAATGTTTTATCACTGCGTTTGACGCGTTTTCTCGACCTGCATGGATTTTTGCTGTACATAAATGTATTATGTGTTAGTGTACTTTTTATATTGCAGCAAATGCATTCAAAAATAATTTAATTCTCGGTATAGTTCTATTTTTTGTTGAATTTTTACTTTTCAAACATGTATTGGTCAGTTTATGGACTTCTAAAAACTATGCTATCGGAGATGTGTACATGTCGACAGCCAGACTGGAAAATCACTCAAGTGAAACAGTTCTACAGGGCTATATATAGCAGGTACAGGTGGCCAAAAATCTTCGATTAAATATGGCGGAATCGAACAAATATGTCGGACAAAGGCGTACAGGAATGTAGTAAGTCGTACAAAGATGAAAACTGATGCCTTTTTAAGAGTTCATGTCAGCTTTAATGAAGCTAAGAGCGTTTGGAACCCAGTGCAAAAGTTAGAGTGGCTCGGTTTTGAGTGGAATTTAGAAGTCGGTTTTATTGGTATCCCTCGATATAAATTAGAGAGTTTGTGTAGCAAGATAAATAAACTTAAAGAAAAACAAAATATTTCTGCTAGAGATCTCGCTTCAGTAGTAGGCAGCATTATTTCTTTTAAGTTTGCACTTGGGCCTGTCTGTCAAATAACAACGAGACAATTGTCAATGCTTATTGCTAACGCATCATGTTGGGATGAAAATATTAATATTTCACTTCCTGCCTGGTGTGAGCTAGAGTTTTGGTTAAAAAATAGCCTATCTATTCCCGCCAGGGTTATTTCCCCATGGTATCGCACACCGGAACGCATTGTTTTTACTGATGCTAGCAATTTTGCAGGCGGTGGTGTTGTTAGATTCGACTAAGAAAGTTTTTCATGTTATGTGGGACGAATCGGAAAGAGTTCAAAGTTCAACTTTTAGAGAACTTAAGACAGTTGAAGTGTTTGTGAAAATTTTTGGTGGTGTTTTAGAAAATAAATTTGTAAAACTATACTCAGACAATCAAAACGTTGTTAGAATTTCGCAGATCGGCAGTATGAATTCGGATTTACAATCTCTTGCTTTTTCTATATATACAAATTGTTTGACAAGAAATATAGATTTTTCTGTAGCTTGGGTTCCACGAGATCAAAACGTAGAAGCAGATTTTGTTAGCAAAGTTTTCGATTTTGACGATTGGGGTATAAGCAATCATATTTTTGTATTTTTCAATAAGGTTTGGGACCTTACACTTGTGATATTTTTGCGAGTTGCAATAATTACAAAGTGAAAAAATTTTATTCTTTGTTTTGGACCCCTGGAACAAGCGGAGTCGACGCATTTGCGTTCGACTGGTCACAAGATTTGAACTGGATTGTTCCTCCCATTTTTTTGATAGGGAGGTCAATAAAGCATTTATTAAATTGTAGGGCTAAGGGTACCTTAATTGTTCCGAAATGGAAATCAGCAGCTTTTTGGCCTTCTTTGATCGACAAAAACGGAAAATTCTTGTGGTTTGTGAAAGACATAATAGAGTATGAAAAACCGACGAATTTTTTCATTTCGGGATCTGATAAAAATAGCGTATTTGCTACTCACAAATTTATCAGTAATGTTATAGCATTGAGATTGGATGCTTCGTAATTAAGTCACTGTAACATTATATGTATATGTTCATTAGCATGCTTTGATTGTGAACTATGGACAGATGAGTACACAAAGGTTGACTGCTAACCAGTGTACAATATGCATGCATATTGAAATGAAATGATTGGATGACTGCTATCCAATAAGGAGGACTGTTCTCCTAGATAAGACGCATTAACATTGAATTATTTCAATACTAACATAAGATTATGATTTAATGTACTTGTACTGAAATTCATATAATTTGATGACTGTTTTCATGGAGGACTGCTCTCCTATATTGAATCTGATGATAAAGTTGCTTGTAAATATGTGTGATATAATATCGTGGCTATTATTGGTTACTGTGCAAATTTGGTTTGAATTTTAATGTGCTTTATTGTTATATATTTCAGAATTTGACGAATTATCAAGGCCAATGGATAAATATTGACAAGTTTAAAGATGATCTTCATTTTAGCGATATAGTGGAGTCTTTGCCGCATATCGTGAGAAATGCAAAAGCTCAGTCAACGAACAAGAAGTACGACATATATTTCTCTAAATTCAGAGATTGGTGTTCGAAGCATTCATTTACGCATCTTCCTGCATCAGTGTCTACTGTCGCTCTTTTTATGGGAGGTTTGGTGCAACAGAGGGTATCAACGTCGGTTCTGGAAGCATATTTCTACAGTATAAGTTGGACTCATGAATTTTCTTCAAATTTGAATCCATGCGAGGACAAGTTCCTGAAACTAGTGCTTGAAGGTGGAAGGCGCATGTTATCAAAACCTATCAGCAAAAAAGAACCAATCACTACAGACATATTACGTAAATTGATGGATTTTTCTTCCAAGGATCCTTCTAATGTGCTGAAATTAAGATCCTTTGTTATGTGTTTATTGGGATTTTCTGGTTTCTTTAGATTCAGTGAATTATCAAATATTCGATTATGTGATATCAAATGGGAAAGTGCTCACATCGAAATTAATATTCCCAGAAGCAAAACGGATATCTACAGGAGAGGAAATTCGGTGATCATCGCAAAAACTGGAAACGATTTGTGCCCCGTGTTTTGGTTAAACAAATACATCGACATGTTAGAGATGGACAAGTCTTCCAATGATTACATGTTTACAGCTGTAAATTTTGTAAAGTCCCTCAATAAATACAAAGCTTCAAACAAATCCAAACCTCTGTCATATACAAGAGCTAGGGAAATATTGTTGTCTTCTTTAAATGAAATTGGCCTTGACAGTTCTAAATATGCTTTACATAGTTTACGTAGCGGCGGAGTTACAGCCGCTGCTAATAATAATGTGTCTGATCGATTGCTCAAAATACATGGTCGGTGGGTCATGGATAAAGCCAAAGACGGTTATATAAAAGACAATCTGGAACATAAAATTCTGGTTTCAATGAATCTTGGTTTATAAAATTTTCATTGCAACTACTGTCCTTTGTTTAATGCGATTTGTAACGAACGCAACAATCCTACAGTATATTCTTTTTCTTTGTTTTTCAATAAATTAGTCAAGAAAATATTTATTTGCGGAGGAGTGAAACGAGGGAGAAAATAAATTTATTTCTTTACGTTTTTACTTCGGTATTCTCCGTGTAACTTCGTATCTAAAGAAACTGGTTTTTCATGCACGATCGATTTAGCGCTCACTATAAATACTTTTACCGGGGAATGTTCGATTAATGCGGCGTTCGTTACAAAGAATCGCAGGTTGTTTTGTGTCTTTTGCTTTCCCTGCCCACCGAGTCCTTGCATTGTTTATTTTGTAAAATTTTTTGAGTTTGATTTGTATGTTTTGGAATAAAAATGCGATTTGTAACGAACGCAACATATCCTACAGTATATTCTTTTTCTTTGTTTTTCAATAAATTAGTCAAGAAAATATTTATTTGCGGAGGAGTGAAACGAGGGAGAAAATAAGTAGCTATGAAACAAGTGATAAGGGGAATAATTCTTGTAATTTTTCCTGGATGTTTAATTGAATATACACTGTAGAATAGATTAAATTTTTTCAGGTTTTGTGAGTGTTTTAAAGGACAGGAAAAGGAATACCAGAATATCTAAGATAAGTTTACTAGAACTGAAGGAGTCAGCAGCTATAGGAGCTGCCAGTTTGGGGGCCAAGTCAATCAAACTTAGTCTGCCTATCAACTATCAAAACAATGCCTCTCTCTATTTCCAGGCAGAATTTTGAATGACATGACATATTTCAGGCAAAATGATGGTAAAATTCATAGGTTGCATTTTGATGTCTTTTTTTATAGCCAGGGAATATTTCTTTAAATTTCTTTTAAGAAAAGGTCTAATTTAAACAATAAAATGCTTTCGTTGATTGTTCAGATATAAATAATGTTGCAGCTTTCTAGAAAAAAAAGCATAACCCACTTAAGTGCAAATTTAATATTATATGCTTGTATAATGTGAAATTTCATATTTATTGTTAAGTCACACATAATACCAATCAAGAACCCCAAAAGACATTTCAACATATGGTATACATGTACACTCAGTCTGATAAATATAGGTTATTGTGATGATTTATTGTATGATTTTTTTATGAAATGATTTTTATAAATATGCAATATTGTATGATCCTCTGTAATTTACTTATAATCCATACGATGTATTGACACATAAGGGTTGACTTCTATATAATAAGCAGATGCCTTTATGATGTATTATTATACATATACATTGTAGAACTAGTTTTTAAGTTCAAAATATGCAGCATTTACTAGTCTATATTGCAAGTAATGTACTTTTGTAGTTTAATTATTTGTTTTACCATGTATGAATACATTCCAGTGTTGTTCATTGCTTTGTTACTGAAATGAAACATATGTCAAAGTAAAACCATTTGCATTTGGAAAAAAAGGATTTTAATATTTAAAAAT